TATTGTCAGGACACGCGTCCCATAGGCGCGTGATCTGACATGACGCGTGATCTTTCTATTCCTAGGTCTTCGCGCCTCTCAAGGCGCTCGACCTCACGAAATCCCTTGATTACCGACTCGTTAGCATACGCAAAACAACGGTTATGTGTGTTGCAGTAGTATCGTACGTTGGTCTGGCGATGCATCTTTCGAATACGGCAGAACTCGGAAAGAGGTGGCCACCTGGCAGCGCCTGAGACAAGAAACCTCCACTAATTTCATATCAACTAAACTAAGGCCATTCACCACATATCATGAAACCGTGAAGCCGTAGAATTACACACAAAAGACAATAGCCAATCTGAAGGTCTAGTCATGAGCTCTGCTCACTGTTCAGTAGATGCATTTGCCGTCTTTTAGTCTCGTTACTATATTATATGCCCCTCTATGTATAAAAGAGCTTGTAGAAGAAAATGCAAAACATACACGTAGAGTTAGCGCGGCGTTGTCAGGTGTAGTATTTGGAATTAGAAGGCCTGGAAAGTTGAACCAATGGATTTCTACGAGTTGAAAATGCAGCATTGGAGTCGGCGGTGAGCTAGAGTCAGCACTTCTTTTGCACGACGAGAATCATCCTTTTCTCGAGAGTTTTGTAACGCACGACTAGAATTAGATCCTCTGTGACAATCGGAGAGGATCGGCTCAGTGACTGTGCCGCATCGAGGGACACCATCGTCCCAAATTAAAAATATGGCAGTTGAAGGTTACGCTGATTGTATAGTGTTCTGCATCAGGCCCTGATTCACGACAGCCTCTGAAGTCAATGAAACAATTACGGCTGAGAAGTAAAGGGGAACAAGTCGGACCAAATCTAGCAGAAACCTCAGCTTCCGAGCCCGATCTCATTCGGAAGTGAAGGACTTATCTTCTCCCAGCAAGCACGACCCAACGTCGCACAACCGAGGATTCCGAATACCCGAATGACTAGGGGAAACGGAGCCTGCCCCAATTATCACATCATATTATCATTTATCGGACCTCTCCCTCACCGGCTACCCTCCTTGATGAGCCCCTACAATTTCTTAGAGTAGAATGCTTTAGTAGTCAAGCTCAGATAGAAAGAGTTCATCGATTTCATTGGCCCAGAATTCCAGATTCATTCAAGAGGAACGATTGCACTACTGCTCGCGAAGGTGCGCACACCCTCCTGAATTTTATTTCAATTGATAATGCTATGCTGAGATGACTGGTTTTGAAAATAATGGTCAAAAACTTACTTTAATTTTTGGACAACCTAACAGGAAGGTTATGTGGCGAGACTATGGATGCAATAATCTCTTGAGCAGCTCAGCTTGCGAACCTTTGCGCAAATCCAGCCTTGTCAAGGGTTCAGAAATGTTCGATGTTGTTGTGATTTTTTGGGGCTTTCCTGATTTTTTGGGGCTTTCCTCGAACAAAAGAATCATTCGAGTTTTGAGGAGATCGAGATGCACTGTTCCATGTCTCGCGGAGCAAACGTCAATGGTGTCTGATTTCTGATGTAATGGCTGCAAAAACCTTTTACGCGTCACGTCTGGGGTACTCTCGCTGTATTTTTTGAACCTTTAACTTTACTTTCTTGATAAGGCGTTTTCTTTCGCGAAAGCGCCACATATCGTCTAGCTACCCTCCTATACTCTCTCAGTACCCACTTTCTTATTCATGAACATCAACTTTATCGCGAGTTTTGTCTTTGAAGTCAAGCCCCGGCATCAAACCAGTGAAAAGAGCGCTTCGTAGTGATGACTGAGCTGCGGAACGACCTGAAAGTGGAAAGGAAAGCAAGAGAAATCTTTGGGAACGCTGAAATTAAGGCCTTAACCTTCAATAAGGTCGGATGTGGTACGATGGCGAGACAGGGCGATCAAAGAAGACAAAACACGCGAGAGATCACGCCGTTCGAGAGAGCACGCTGATCTCACATCGAGGTGGGTGGGAAGCGTTGCAACGGGGTCGATGGTTGCAGGCCCGTAAGGATTAGCGCCCTAACCGCGCAATTTTTGCGACGAAGCTGGAGTGATCTAGGTAGGTACGGACCTTACAATTTCCCTCGCGGTATCCTTCCCACAAGTCGGGCTAATCCCAGCGGTTGCCTTTAAGCTACTCATGTGATGAACAGTCATCGATGTGTGCAGTTGTCACTGGCACGGTTCTCCACGCCTTGAGTGAATGCGGAGCGAGAGGCAAGCTAGCATGACCTATTGGAAAAAAATCGTATAAAAAAGAGGCACTAATTCTAGAGAAGATTACTGGCAATGGTTCACGATGCTTTTGCATGCAACAGCGCTCTTGATAAAACTGTATCATTTCTCAGCTTTCTATAAATGATATTACATGCTATCAACATGGTCTCATACAGTGTGTGGGCATGTGATGTGACAGTTGCTGCAGCCTAAAGGGACCCGAATTCATGGAGGGCGAGAAAATCGCCAAGGTGCGTGGATCATCCGCTTCCGCTTTTGCACCTACCCCAGAGTATCTTTCCCCCGAGAAAAGGTGGGTCCCCTTAGCCGGCATGAACTGTCGTACCAACCCCCCCCCCTCCCGTTGGATCCCTCAGAATATTCTCTGATGCGAAAGTGAGACGGTGATAAGTGGAGCCGCCACCGCACCATGGCTCGGTGATCGAATCGTGGATCAAATCATTCTTAGCCCCTCCAAGTCATTCATCTGCTCCGAAGCCAATGACTGGTAACGGATTATGATGGGAACATGGAAACTCCAATGTATTTTTGAGCTGATTCATTGTAAACGTCGAATACGCTTTGATAAGCAATTGCGGTCCTGAATAAAAGCGAACGCGGGGCGCATTACAAAACGAGGCTATTAGTCCACTAGGTTTATCTTTCTCCTACGTTCCTTGATAAATATTAAGCCAATATAAAATGCGCAGTCGAACATAGAAATCAACGTTCATTCGCCTTTGGATAGTTGGCGCGTGTAAGGTTAAAGCAGAAAAGCTAACAAAATGACCCATCAAGACCCGGAAACTAAATTGGATCGTAATCGTTGGAATCTTATTAGGATCAGCATGCAATGTATTACTCAAATGGCTTGAGGTGTATTAATAAAATAATTCCGCTAAAAAAACCATTTACCGCCTCTTGGAAGGAAGCATGCTCTAATGCTAATAAGTCCTTTTATTGCGTTGGCTCAGTTTCTCAGTGCAATAAGTGCATGAGTTACCGGTTTGTTGAATATCTTCTGAAGTTTTACTCCTTTTTTCAAACATTGGTTTGCTGCTGAAGACACATTTCACATGTTTCCGTTTTCTGTTGAGTATTGTCCGAGATAGCACTTCGGTAGCAAGCACTGCATCGTTTTTCTATGTTGAGTGATTCATGTTGGATCGGATATGGTGATGATGGGTCAGATATCGGCTTTGATATTGATTCTTGTCATTGTGCCATTTCAGTAGAATACAAGCTTCTTCTTGTCATTGCTTCGTACAGCTTAAGAAGATCAGCGAACCTCTCAATTGCATAATGCCAGTTCTGCCTATTTGTTTCTAAGGCTCTTTTTCTTGTTGTTATTACAAATACTCTTTACATATGAGCGATTATTGGATCTCTTCATGACTTGCGACGATCTGTGTACAATCTATCTATTGCCGCTATAAAATACATTAGTACAACTGTTTCGTTCCCAACAATTGTATCGCGCAATGGGGGAGTGGGTCGTTACTACAGAAAGCACCTTCTCGCTGCGGGAACCAAGGTCCACCTCTGATCGTGAGTATACTTGGTGTTCACGCAGCAAAAAATCGCTTCGTGTACTGAGGACCCAGGGCGGTATTCAATCCTTCCCCCAGGGGTTGGGGGACGGAAATCCCTTTTAAATTTTCCCTGTCTTCCCGAATGGGGTTGTCCTGATAAAGGGCCTACGTTTAATGTATTTATGTATGTCAATGTAATCATGCGTTGAAAATGAAGAAACTACATCGTTCTAAACAAATAAATTTAAAGGGATTTCCGTCCCCCATAGGCCGGACGCATAGTCGGTCGGACGACAGCAACGACTGCAAGTGTCGCACAGCATTGGGTGCGTATCGATCTGCGACACCTGCGGTCGTTGCTGTCGTCCGACCGCTGCTGTCGCAGATCGATACGCACCCAATGCTGTGCGACACTTGCAGTCGTTGCTGTCGTCCGACCGACTATGCGTCCGGCCATACCCCTGGGGGGAAGGATTGAATACCGCCCCAGGTGTGGTTCGCTAGGACAGAAAGCGACTTTTTCGCTTTTCGCAGCGCGAAACTTCTTCCACTGCGGGAACCCAGGTCCACCTTGATCATGAGTGGACCTGGAGTTCCCGCAACGAAAAAAGTTTCGCGCGCGAAAAGCGGAAAACAGCTTTTTGTCCTAGCGACCACACCCCTAAAGGCTCACACCCGTCCAGTGGTGATAAACATAGTTTTGATTGCGCCTCTTCGTCCTGTCCAACAATTAAATCCCATCCGTGTGTAGGTATGGCGGAATCTCTAGAGTTAGCATTACTAATGTGGTGACTACAAGCAATTTCCCTTCTGAGTACTCATTGTTTCAGATGGTGAATGCTGCACATGTTCCATCATCTAATTCCACGATGAGCGCACAGAAAAAACGTCAGGATGAGAAGAACTTGAAAATTCTACGGTATACTTACCTTCTGGTTTTGATGTTTTAGTTTACATGGTGATTCACACATTATGATTACTCATACAACAGTACTGTTGTGGATGATCGACCGAGTAACAAAAGCCTTTTCATTTGTGTTTTCTTTTACTTGCCAGGAAGATGTTTCGGATAATGCCGACCCTTCTCACAAGAATTGCTTGCATCAGGTAGGGGCACGTGCATGGAACCTAGGACTATGTTTCATTTTTCCTGAGCGGCCCTTTTAACTTCAAAAATTTGGCGAAAGATTGGTTAACGGTTCCATTACTCGTGGTGACAAAGTTTCGCATTTTTTGAATGGCGCATGCACCACCTTGTCCAATGGTACCCGCGGTTTTAATGGATGCCTTCTTATCACATTGACCATCACTAATCCATATGGTAGATTTTTACCGAAATCTGTTGTTGAAAATGTGGAGCGCTTGAGCCTTTCAAACCCTTTCGTGGCATTCAGGGAAAATGGCCAGATTTCTGTGTTTACTGTGTGCGCCCCTATCTCATGCTTGAAACCGTTTTTGGGAAGCGGAGCACGGCCTAAAAGGGCTAGCCGTTCAGGAAGTTGTATTTCGGTAGTCAGTGAGTATGTGAGGTGGTGTATCATTTACTAGACTGTACTGTTCTTCGGTAGGTCATTTCATCAAAAGCGTGAAAGCAATTGAAAGGTACGCTATCTATCTATCAACTGTCGGTTCATACCTTACGGTCATGCGACTGCGATTCTGAGAACTTCCTACCCTCAAGGAGTAGATACGTATCGACCACTCTGCGATCACCCTTGCACGTTGTTCCAACAATGTCCAACGCAAATTCTTGTAATTCATTACTGAAGGCGTGCTCCATTCCAAGAACAAGATGGCGTCTGCTCGCTAATCTCTTAGTAATGAGGTGTCTACGCGCAATGCTCAGGATCACATAGCAGAATGTACGGCAAGGATTCAATGATTATTTATAAGGTGGGGCAAAAATATTGGTACATCCATTGTTTT